TGGTCTGTGTGGGGAAATTGCAAATGTGATTTGAGTAAAAATATGAATATTTGTTTTTATTAAAATATTTTATTACCTGTAATATCTACGCTTCATTGCTTATTTATGCTCTCAGTTGGCATTAAGTCCCCACACATTCGGCAGACCCAAAGTTTCTTCCTCACCGGCCCCATTAGTTTTTTTTGGGCCCAGCCCCAAATGGGCCGAGTGAGGATCGCACGACAATTTGGGCCCCGATGTTGTAGTGCCAGTCCGTCACCTGCCCACGACCATTAAGTCCCCCCAATTCCGGCACTCTCCAGCACTAAACCACTCTCGCCAATGGCACTCGCACCCGAGTCGGCACAACGGCAGGCACGTTTGCACGCGTGTGGCCGGCCGCTCGCTGTCGATCTTCGTCGTCGTCACCATCCTTCTTGTAGCTCCATCCTCCCCCGTGTGCTTCCGCAGACTTCGTGGACGCGCTGTCGGACCCCAAGCGCTTCCTGTCACAGGCGGAGAAGCGCGCCAACCAGATGCAGGCCATGGGCATCGAGGCGGTGAGTGTCTGGGCCGCGCGCCGGTGACGAACGAACAGTGCGACGCTCGTGCAGGGTCGAGGGGGCTCGTCACGGTTTGAGGCGGAGCACGCAGTCCCCTACCTCGGCTGCACCTGATAGAGGTCGATTCTGTGCTGGGCAGCCGTCAGGGTGATTGGGGATCCAGCACTCACCGATGATTCACGCGCTCCAGTATAGTCGCCTCATTTATTCTTTGTTGTTGTATCTTTACTCGCAGATGCTGGACATCTTTGAGTATAGATTCTGATTACGATGACTCATTCTTCTTTTTTCATTGCCGCTACCACTCAACCAAGTGAAGGGATGCGTGAGCGAGATGCACTCTGATGGACTTTGCCTTTCAGAGCGGACATAGGGGACGTGCCCGAGAGCCGAGGCAGCGTCAACCGCGGCGCCGCCACTCCCCAGACCAGCGGCACGCAGAGCCGCGGCACGCAGAGCCGCGGCGCGCAGAGCCGCGCCACGCAGAGCCGCGCCGCTCCGAGCGCTGGAAACGGTTGCCGTGCCCGGCAAGGCCAGCAAAGGTCCGGCTCCCGGCTGCTCGCCCACGACGTCGCCCCCCCACCCCCCCGGTGCCGATAAACGGTCGCGGGGACGTCGCCGCTTGTGACGGAGGCGTGCGGTCAGAGTCCGACAGGCTGTCCTGGCTAATACCGTAGTGGCTGCGGTATAGGGTCGCCACCTGTCCCGGGTTGGACCCGGTCAGTCCGGGAATGGGCATCTGTGTTTGCTGCATTGAACTTTATCGTGATATATTGCAACAGTTTGATAGTCGCAGGGTGACTGATAAATATGTCCGGGGTTTGTCCGTGTGAAAAATTACTTGCACACCAGTTACTGTACGGTCATTGGGAAACAATGCGATCGTCGCTCGTGACAGGAGTCTTGAGACTCGGTGAGTCTTTCCTGGGTAAAGAAGCTGAATCACGATAATAATCCTTGGCCTTCTCTTCCCCGGTTCCACCCCAGACGAACCCCTGGTGCCTCCCGTGTGTGTGGACACGCTGAGACACTCCAAGGTGCGTTCATGTGGCCCTTAACGGGCAAAACAAGCGAACATATGCGCACGCATACACACACAAGTGCCGAGGCGATCGTGCTGCTGCCATAGCACGAACCTCGTGAAGCGATACGGTCAGCGCAGTTTCACCGGCGGCAGATGTTCCAGATTAATCCTTGAGCCGGAGCCATTTTTGCACACACGATGTGTTCATCGCTGCGCATTCGTGATGGATTGGACTCGTCATGAGAGCGCACGGCACCAAGGGTTCACACTTACCGCTGCTGCTGCTGCTACTGGCGCTTGGGAGAGTGGCACGTGGCGGCGACGCATGGTGGGGCTCTCATTGTTGCTGCAGTGGCGATGTGGGGCGAGGTCCTCAGAGTGTCGCTACGTGCGTGCGTGTGTGCATGTCAGTGGCGAGCGGTAGTGTCGTGGTTAGCGCGCTGCGTTACGAACGTGGCGACCCGGGTTCTATTCCCACTCATGGCCAACACTGGTGACGATTATCTAAACCGGTCCTGGACCTCCCCTAGGTTGACTCAGCCTCAAATGAGTACCTGGTGCGATGTGTAAACATCGTCACTAGGGAGACAAAGGCGGCCGGACGTGGTGTGCTGTGCCGGCCTTCATACGTGCTCGCTGATAGCACTTGCTCCAACAGTCTAAGGCTATACAGGGGTTCTTTGTCTTTTTGCGTGTCTGCACCATCAGTCATTCCTCAAGCTTCTCAAGAAGCAGGAGAAAGAGATGACCCTTCTCAAGAAGGCCCACGCCAAGGTAGGTCACTTTCCTCCCCCCCTCGTCGTCATCGTCCCTCTCTTCGTATTCCCAGCGGACGGTGGCAGTGCAACGATGGTGATGTAGAGGTGATAAACTATTTACAGTGGTACCTCGGAGATCGAACTTAATTCGTTCCAAAACTGTGGTCGAACACCGATTTGTTTGAACACCGAATCAATTTTCCCCATGAGAATGAATGGAAATGGCATTAATTGGTTCCCCACCCAAGGATGCTCCTATTATGGGCCATTTTTACACAAAGTTTACAATATTAAAATACAGTACAGTAGATAAAATCATACAAAAAACAAGAAACACAGTTATAATTAATAGAATAAATGAACATTGAACGTCACTTTACCTGTAGTAAGGAGAGTGGATGGCTTGAGTGGAAGGTGGTGAGGAGGGGAGGAGGAGGAGGTGTCAGTGTTGCTTGCAAGGGGAGTCCCCCTCCACGTTGGGTAACTGCCCCTCTGGGGTTCTTTCTTTTCTTTGCCTTTTTTTGAGCACTAACTGTGATTCACTTGAGGGCCTTTTTTACTAAAAACTGATCAAGAGAGGATTGTTTCTGCCTCCGTTTTAAGATGTTTCTGAAATGACTCAATGCATTATCATAAAAAAAACCTGCTCTGCTGAATACTAACTGCCTTATCTGGGTGATATTTTTCTACAAAATTGTGTAACTCAGCCCATATTGCCACCTTTGAAAAAAGGCTTTAGTGTAGAGTTTTTTTTAAAGTTGGAAATTACCTGTTGGTCCATGGGCTGGATGAGAGGAGTCGTATTGGGGGGCAGGAACTTTACAGTGATAAAGGACGAGAGCTACGCGTGAACTGGGTCATCCGCCTTTGTCTCGGTCGCCATGGCTACGCATCTCAGTCGCCATGGCTACGCGTCTCGGTCACCATGGCTACGCGTCTCGGCCCAAACGGTTCTTTCCAGTTGTTCGACCTCCGAATTTTAGTTCGATGTCCAGGGCAAAAAACGGTCGAAAATTTTGTTCAATCACCGAATTGTTCGAGTTCTGGGGCGTTCAATCTCCGAGGTTCTACTGTAAAATATTTATTTTACCAAGTAAGGCCCACGCAACTATATAACTCTGGCCACAAATGAAAGCTCATCGAAGTGGCTTATCATGTGGACATTTATCGTAGCCAAATATTTTTTTACGTGGAGGGAAAAACGGGAGGACCCGGATAAAAATGCACGTGAACACAGTGAGAGAGAAATGCAAACTCCAAATAAACAACAGGTGGCAGGGTTGGGATCGAACCCACAACCTCCTGTATACCAGGCGAGGTAGTTAACATCTTGCCACCGCGGTGAGATTATGTGACGGTGGTGATGTGGGGGTGATGTGGCAGTGATATGATTGCCGTGGTGATGATGTGGTGGTGATGCGACGGTGATGATGTGTTGGTAATGCGGTGATGATGCGACAGTGATACCGTGGTGATGATGCGGTGTTGCTGTGCAAAGGCGCAGGCCAGTCTCCAAAAGACGTACACGGGACAAGGAGACAAAGTGACGAGCCAGTACGAGCGTGAGCGCAGCTCCATTCTCAAGCAGACAGAGAAGACCCTGGCCAAGAAAGGGTAAACCTCCCCGTCTTCTACTCTCCACCTGCCCTGATCCACCCTTCATCTCAGCTCCACCCTCACCACTCCACCCTCTCTGCTCCACCATCGCCGACGCCGCTCGTTTCAACCGAGCCGAGTGCCTCCGAGTATGAACGTGTGCTGCGCGCGGGGTGTGTGTCTGCCGTCCCCAGCGAAGGTCACTGTGCCGGGCTGCAGAAGGAAACGGAAAGAAAAGAAGCGGGTGGAGGAGCTCACCGTCGAGCACCAGCGCAAGGTGAGGCCTCCACCGCACAGGGCAGGCACCCATGGCGTGTCGCGACGACCACGGGCACGGGTCCCGTGAACTCCGCTCGGTCTCTACCAGACACCGACTGTGTCGTCTCACCACTACACTGTCTTCAATAACCACCTTTTGGGCCTCCTGTGCTGAGAGACTGCGTTAAAAACGGAGCGCAGAGCCAACGGTCCGCAGCAAAGAGCGGGACAGCTCCGCTGCCTTCGCGCGCATCTGGTCCGCCACTTGAACGACAAAAGTTGTTTCGTTTTTCACACATCAGCCACACAGCATTGGTTCAAGAAAGCGAACTCGAGGCTGGTTTTGACATTCAATGTCTCATCGGCAGAGTCGGGCTTGTTTGAACCAACGCTGCCGCTGAACGATTACTTTGCATTCAGAAAATAAACGGATGCGGGCGAGGGATGCGATGGTAAGGAGGAGGGCGGAGAGGCGTCGAACGGCGATCGCCGTTTTGAGGGGCTGGTTGTGGGGCCACAGCAGCTGTCTACGTGGTGTTGTCTACGTTGCCGTGGCGTTGTTGATGTTGTTGCACCGGGTCTTGCGCAACCCGACCGACGGCACGGACCGCCTCGCGTCCCGTCGTCCCGCGCGGAGCAGATGCAGGCGCTGCAGGCGGAGCGGGCGCCGCGAGGCAGAGCGGCGCTGCAGGCACAGCAGGCGCGCAGGCAGGAGGAGGCGCGGACGGCACACGCCGCGCAGCAGGACGAGCTGGTGCGCGCGCTGCTGGCGGGCGCGCACGAGCAGCAGATCCGGCAGCTGCAGCTCACGCACGAGCGGTGAGGGGCCGCCACCGCCACCGCCACCGCCGCCACGGGATCGTCCTCTCAGCTTGCGAGGTCTCAGGGCCCGGGGTCGCCCGGGGTCGCCACATGCATGGGTTTGACGCAGATGGGTCCGGGAAAAGGCGCCTGTGTCTCGGGTGGCGGGAATTGATTCCAACCGAGATCGGCTGCTATGGTGCCAATCCTGGTATCTATTGTGTCGAGATGCGTTGCAGCAGGCTGCGTGGTGTGGATAGTGTCAGGCCGGCCGATAGATGTGTGCGGCGTCAGTCTGTGGGAAAAGTGGCGACCCTGCACCTTGAGCTCCTCCTCCTGGCTAACTCCACTGCCTTTTTTTTTTCTCTCCGCCTGATGACGACCGCTTGTGTTGCGATCGAAACGTCGTGAGGTTTTTGGTTTTTATTATTTTTATTTAATTATTTATTATTTTATTATTTTCTATCTACGTGACTTTACCGAAAGAACCACTTAATATTAACTCCACTGCACTGTGCCTTTCAGAGTGACGGTGGATGTGTGTGGGTGTGTGAATCTATGGGTCTATATGCGAGTCTGTGGGTCTCTATTTGTTACCCACGGGTCTCTATTTGAGAACCCACCTCCAGTACATTCCTGTTTTTTATTGAATCCACCTGCACACGGTGGCACTCGAGACTGGGAAATCCGAGGCGGACACTGCAGGCCCACGGGACTGAACGCACGCGCAGAAACTCCCATTTTCCGAATGGCGATTGCTCTTATCGGTTACCGCTTGGATGGTGCCTTTTGTTTTGTCGCTTGGCCCGCTTGACGTTTTTATCCTTTGGGCTTTGGACTTCCCAGGGACACGAAGCAGCTGGAGGGGACCCAGGCCAAGCAGTCGATGGAGGAGAGCAAGCTCATCAGCCAGGACCGCAGCATCAAGAACAAGGCCGAGAGGGAGCGGTAGGGCCCCTGCGTTGGCATTCACCCTGCGTACACATGCTATTTTACTATTTTACTTTACCAGGTAAAGCCCACTGAGCTATGTAGCTCTTCTTCAGAAGCGACCGGGCCACAAATGATAGTTCAACAAAGTGGCTTATCATCGTGTGGAAATTTGTAGCAGCCAAATACTCTTGAACGCATGTTGATTTTAAATGCGGAGGGGAAAACCGGAGGAACCGCAGAAACATCTGCGCGACCACGGGGAGAGAGACACGCAAACTCCAAATACAGTCAAACCTTGGATTGCGAGTAACTTGGTCTGCGAGTGTTTTGCAAGACGATCACAACTGAATAAACGAGTGCTTTGGATTACAAACACGTTTTCCGGAAGGAATTATGCTCGCAATCCAAGGTTTTACTGTATACAGGCGTCAGAGTCGGGATAGGAGGTGAGGTAGTTAACATCTCCTCGCCACCGCGGCATCCTTAACATTGACAGTCTTTCTGAAGAACACCACGTTATGAAACATTTGCGTTATAATAACAACCATTGATTCAATGGGAATTAAGGCGTTAAGGGGTTAGTAGGGTTCGAAAACTCCAGCATGACTGACATGTTTCACGACAATTGATTCTATTACTGTACATTTTTTACGTATTCTTTTAGAATTACTGTGTTTTAGTGCGATGAAATAATTCGTTAATTAAATAAACACGTGAAAATTTGTGAAAAATGCACGTTACAGTGTTAGTCACTAAGCGGTAAAAAGCGTAGTCATGGGGGAGGGTGAAGAGAGAAGACGATGAAGGGTGTGAAGTGACTCACGTAACAGCCTTTTAATGATACATCTATTTAAGTTAAACATTTTTAAACATAATGCTTGAGACGAGTAGGGTAAAAGCACAGTCCGCGATAACATGTGAAAAGCGTTACGCAGGCCGAACAAAGACTGAGGCGCTGTGGGTAGCGTCTAGAAGCATCCAGCAGTATCCCAATGCCTTGTGCGACGATGCTACGCCGAGGCAGCCGCACGACGCTTTGTCCTACTCGCGCGACCAGGTTCCGTTCACATCGATTGCGTTGTATCCAATTCGCATCCAGCGTCATAAAAATGTGTTCCCTTCTACATTCATCGCGTTGTATCCAATTCGCGTTGCGAAAACAACACGCGGCGTTATTGCAGAACTGACTGAACATGGCCTTTAGGTGGGCATTCGTCTGCGAGTAGAGGGCGACCGTTGCTGCTACTATACTGCCTTGAACTTTTATGAACGACTGAGTGTTTAAGGTTAGTGATTTGTCGTATTATCTGGCTGTATAGCAAATGAAAAAATACACTTACTTTACTATGCAAGTTCAACATGTATGCGTTTTAATATTTAAGTGGTTTTTTTTAATTTAAGGCCCCTTTATAACATACGCTACAGGCCCCGCACTAGCTTAATCCAGCACTGATCAGCAGAGACATCACAGCGGGGTTCGCATCCCGCTGTTTACCTGACGCAGCCTGAGTGCGAGCTGCGATGCCACGGTGGGCTGACACGTACGGAGTCGTCACACCGGCCCCTTGTTGCTGGTTGCGTCTCGCCCTCTAGGCGACTGCGGGAACTGATCGCCAACAACACCAAAAAGTTCGTGGAGGAGAGGAAGAGGGTGAGTGACTGAGAAACGTGTCCGCCTGTCCTCTACCCCTCCGGCTGTTCGACGCAAACACACACACACACACACACTCTCACACGTGAGCGTTGATACTGGCATTGCTGTTTGTTGTGAGGGAAAGCGTGTTGCATGGGATGTGTAAAATAAAATACGTGGAGGGACAAGTATGGGAGTTTTGAATACAGCAAGAACCCTTATCTAACACGACAGAGGGTCCTTGCCTATACACATCTGGCAGTTCATCAGCATTGGTTCCTGCGAGCCTCCGATAAGACACTGAATTTCACAAGCGGTACAGAGTTTGTGCGTGTTATCATATGGCGACGGACCTGGGAAGGAGGCGAATGGCCTGCTTCGCTATTTTGTTACGTTGCACGTGCGGCTGTGTGTATGCCTGCTGCGTGTAGCTACAGGGAAGCAGGGTCGGGGAGATGGAGATGATCCGCAAGGTGCAACAGGAGCAGCAGGAGACTTTGCGGGTGCAGCAGGAAAAGGTTTGTACCACGTGTGAACGCCCGATTCATTGGCCATTACATTATTTGCTTAGCTAGAGCCAACCCGGCCGTGTGGCTCAGTGGTTGGTGGAACGTTATGAGTTCAAATCCTGGTTGGGGGTTGACTCAGCTCAACTTCCCTTCAGTCAATAAAATGACTACCACTCAGTGTTGGGGTAAGTCAGCAGTGTATGCATGTATACATATGTTGAACTTCCTTCGCATTGTACTTAGCTCACCGTGGATATAATTCCTTCCACCATAGGAATATGGAAAGTCCATCACTGGCTCATGGCTGTGAATGGAAGATGAATACTGCCTCAATTCTCATTTGAGCCGGAATTCGCTTCACCTTGGCCATTCAAGCAGGCACCAGGGCACATTTCCAGTTAGCACAAGGGACTTTGCAATCCAGGTCTCCCATTCTTAAATCTCTCCTCTTATGTCCACCCAGCTGTAAAAATATGGACGCCTGAGTCGATCGGCAGGTCACGTGTGGTGGGGTAAAGTGTGGGGTACCGCCACCTCTTCCAAGTCGTCCAATCAGTGTGGAAGTGTAGGCCAAAGGACCCTCTTGGGCTCCTTCCAGTGGATTCACTTTCACCAGTAGCGGCGCGAGCGAGACATTGCAGGGCTCTGCATCTTACCCTGTATCTGAAAAACGTGGCGGGCAAATGAACCACGTGGTCACCCTGGACCGCTGTGCCGTTTTGTCGGTTCGCACGCGCACGGCACTCGTTACATTCCAACAAGATCGGCGAACAGTTTTGTAGATGGGCGGGAACGGTCGACCGGTTCTCGCTGAGCGGCTCTACGGACCCGCGCTACGCTGCTGCCGCCGCCGCCGCCACAGCGAGAGAGTGACCTGAAGCCGCGTGCACGCGCGTGTTTGTGCTGCCAAGGTCAAGCGCGACATCCCCGAGGTGGCAGGGAGCCGGTGAGCGGCACCGGCCGTGGACGCGGGCGGGTACGGCGACGCGGACGCCGCGGGTTGCGGGGAGCTGGCCTCGTTGCTCCGCCGATGCAGCATCGGCCACGGGTGACGTTGGGGCCCCGACTGCCCGGACGCGGCGGTTGTGGGAGGAAAAAAGTGAACGACGTGATCTCGGATTCACCCACGGTCCACTTTTTAAGGCGTCTCGTGGAGGAGCCGTCTATTCTCAGAAGTGTGAGCCATTCGCACACTCTGAACAAACTGGAATACTATAAAACTTTTATTAAATGAGTCGATTTTTTTTTTAATCCGTGTGCCTACTATATACCGTTCTCGGGCAATGGCTTTTATCATTTTAAGTATATTTACCAAATGGTTGTGAATAATATATATGATAATGTAGATTATAACAACTGAACATTATCACATGAATATAATGTTGTTGTGAAACATCGGCCTGACGACTGTGGCCGTTTTACTCGCATGGGAAGATAAAAAGCACATGCTCTCCGCCAATGTGACTGGACCATTCCCGCGCACGGCCCCGCGTGCCGCACCCCGGACGATGAGCGTAATTGAGAGACACCAGGACCCGCGTTCAGCCCGGGGAGCTCTCAGACCGAGGAGGTACTTCGTTACCCCGAGTTTCTCCCATCCCACACGGCTCCCGGTTGATGCTGCCACTCCTCTCTGCGGCTAATCGTGCGATCAGCGCTCAATCGGGGAAGTGGAAACAGTCGCCGCAACTAGTGGGGAAAGACACCGAGTCGGTGGCACCACTGTCTCCGCAGATGTTTTATTTGTAGAAAGGATCCGTGTCCAACCGAACTCTCCCTGGGTTACGCTGAGCCATTCGTGGTCCTTCCAAATGCCGCATGTTCAGCTCTCGGCTGATAACAATGTGTTGGGATGCCTTCTCTCGTAGTAATGTAATGCTCTAATTTTAAGGGTTTGGATAGTAGGGCTGCCACCTTTCACAGGCCAGACCCGGACCCCTCTCTCAGTCGGCCTAGGTCTGTTATCAAGACTGTGCAGTTTATTGACCAGATCTCGGTACAAATTAATTACTACACCAATTACACCAGACTGGCCCGGGTCAAATCCAGACGAGTGGCGACCCTAGGTTTCTGTTAGGGGTTGGGTGTAGGGGTTGGGGTTTAAGGTTAGGGACAGTAGGACCCATATGTGGGGACCATTCCCAGCCGTGAAATGGACAGAATGTCACGAATAATGTAGAATAGGTTATGTTACACAGCCCAATATGTACACCATTGGTTGCAAACTCGAGGTACAGCACAAAGAGAACTGTTGTATCGTTACAAGTGTCAGGTATTCTTGTATTTGGGATACAACGGGTAATAAAAGACACTTGTACCCAAGGCGTCCGTGTCCAACTGCAGTGTTAAGCCTGCCATCATTCATCTGGGGTGTCCCATCCATAACACTCGCACGTGTCATCACCCACACAGCACCCACACTCTGACACCCTCACCCACACAACACCCACATCCTGACACCCTCACCCACACAAACACCCACACCCTGACACCCACACAACACCCACACCCTGACATCCTCACCCACAACACCACACCCTGACACCCTCACAACACCCACATCCTGACACCATAACAACACCCTCACCCAATCATCCAAACAACACCTTCACCCTGACACCCACACAAAAACCCACACCCTGACACCCACACAACACCCACACCCTGACACCCTCACCCACACATCACCCACACTCTGACACCCACACAACACCCTCGCCCACACCCTGACACCTCACCCAAACAACACCCTCACTCTGATACCCTCACAACACCCACACTCTGACACCCTCAGAACACCCTCACCCTGACACCCACACAAACACGCTCACCCTGACACCCTCAACAACACCCACACTCTGAAACCCTAACAACACCCTCACCCTGACACCCAAACAACACCCTCACATTGACACCCTCACAACACCCACACTCTGACACCCTAACAACACCCTCACCCTGACACCAAAACAACACCCACACAACACCCACACCCTGACACCTTCACAACATCCACACCCTGACACCCACACAACACCCACACCCTGACACGCACAAAACACCTTCACCCTGACACCCACACAACACCGACACAACACCCACACCATGACACCCCACACAACACACTGACACCCTCACCACACCCACACTCTGATACCCTCACCCACACAACACCTTCACCCTGACACCCTCACAACACCCACATCCTGACACCCTAACAACACCCTCACCCAAATCATCCAAACAACACCTTCACCCTGACACCCACACAACACCCTCACCCTGACACCCACACAACACCCTCACCCTGACACCCTCACAACACCCACACTCTGAAACCCTAACAACACCCTCACCCTGACACCCAAACAACACCCTCACCCTGACACCCTCACAACACCCACACTCTGACACCCTAACAACACCCTCACCCTGACACCTAAACAACACCCACACAACACCCACACCCTGACACCTTCACAACACCTACACCCTGACACCCACACAACACCCTTACCCTGACACCCTCAACACACAACACACACACCCTGACACCCTCACAACACCTTCACCCTGACACCCACACAACACCCTCACCCTGACACACACAACACGCTCACCCTGACACCCACACAACACCCACCCCCTGACACCCACACAACACCCACACCCTGACACCCACACAACACCCACACCCTGACACGCACAAAACACCTTCACCCTGACACGCACAGAACACCCACACAACACCCACACCCTGACACACCCTGACACCTTCACAACACCCAAACCCTGACACCCACACAACACCGACACAACACCCATACCATGACACCCACACAACACACTGACACCCTCCCCACAACCCACACTCTGATACCGTCACCCACACAACACCCACACCCTGACACCGACACAACACCTTCACCCTGACACTCACAAAACACTTACACCCTGACACCCACGAAACACCCACACCCTGACACCCTCACAACAGCCACACCCTCACAACACCCTCACCCTGACACCCACACAATACCCACACCCTCACACCCTCAACACCCACACCCTGACACCCACACAACACCCACACCCTGACACCCTCACCCACACATCACCGACACTCTGACACCCACACAACACCCTCGCCCACACCCTGACACCCTCACCCAAACAACACCCTCACTCTGATACCCTCACAACACCCACACTCTGACACCCTAACAACACCCTCACCCTGACACCCACACAACACCCTCACCCTGACACCCTCACAACACCCACACTCTGAAACCCTAACAACACCCTCACCCTGACACCCAAACAACACCCTCACATTGACACCCTCACAACACCCACACTCTGACACCCTAACAACACCCTCACCCTGACACCTAAACAACACCCACACAACACCCACACCCTGACACCTTCACAACATCCACACCCTGACACCCACACAACACCCACACCCTGAAACGCACAAAACACCTTCACCCTGACACCCACACAACACCGACACAACACCCACACCATGACACCCACACAACACACTGACACCCTCACCACACCCACACTCTGATACCCTCACCCACACAACACCCACACCCTGACACCCACACAACACCTTCACCCTGACACCCTCACAACACCCACATCCTGACACCCTAACAACACCCTCACCCAATCATCCAAACAACACCTTCACCCTGACACCCACACAACACCCTCACCCTGACACCCACATAACACCCTCACCCTGACACCCTCAAAACACCCACACTCTGAAACCCTAACAACACCCTCACCCTGACACCCAAACAACACCCTCACCCTGACACCCTCACAACACCCACACTCTGACACCCTAACAACACCCTCACCCTGACACCTAAACAACACCCACACAACACCCACACCCTGACACCTTCACAACACCCACACCCTGACACCCACACAACACCCTTACCCTGACACCCTCAACACACAACACACACACCCTGACACCCTCACAACACCTTCACCCTGACACCCCACAAACACCCTCACCCTGACACACACAACACGCTCACCCTGACACCCACACAACACCCACACCCTGACACCCACACAACATCCACACCCTGACACCCACACAACACCCTGACACGCACAAAACACCTTCACCCTGACACGCACAGAACACCCACACAACACCCACACCCTGACACCTTCACAACACCCAAACCCTGACACCCACACAACACCGACACAACACCCATACCATGACACCCACACAACACACTGACACCCTCCCCACACCCACACTCTGATACCCTCACCCACACAACACCCACACCCTGACACCGACACAACACCTTCACCCTGACACTCACAAAACACTTACACCCTGACACCCACGAAACACCCACACCCTGACACCCTCACAACAGCCACACCCTCACAACACCCTCACCCTGACACCCACACAATACCCACACCCTCACACCCTCAACACCCACACCCTGACACGCACAAAACACCTTCACCCTGACACGCACAGAACACCCACACAACACCCACACCCTGACACCTTCACAACACCCAAACCCTGACACCCACACAACACCGACACAACACCCATACCATGACACCCACACAACACACTGACACCCTCCCCACACCCACACTCTGATACCCTCACCCACACAACACCCACACCCTGACACCGACACAACACCTTCACCCTGACACTCACAAAACACTTACACCCTGACACCCACGAAACACCCACACCCTGACACCCTAACAACAGCCACACCCTCACAACACCCTCACCCTGACACCCACACAATACCCACACCCTCACACCCTCAACACCCACACCCTGACACCCACACAACACCCACACCCTGACAACCCTCACCCACACATCACCGACACTCTGACACCCACACAACACCCTCGCCCACACCCTGACACCCTCACCCAAACAACACCCTCACTCTGATACCCTCACAACACCCACACTCTGACACCCTCAGAACACCCTCACCCTGACACCCACACAACACCCTCACCCTGACACCCTCACAACACCCACACTCTGAAACCCTAACAACACCCTCACCCTGACACCCAAACAACACCCTCACATTGACACCCTCACAACACCCACACTCTGACACCCTAACAACACCCTCACCCTGACACCTAAACAACACCCACACCCTGACACCTTCACAACATCCACACCCTGACACCCACACAACACCCACACCCTGACACGCACAAAACACCTTCACCCTGACACCCACACAACACCGACACAACACCCACACCATGACACCCACACAACACACTGACACCCTCACCACACCCACACTCTGATACCCTCACCCACACAACACCCACACCCTGACACCCACACAACACCTTCACCCTGACACCCTCACAACACCCACATCCTGACACCCTAACAACACCCTCACCCAATCATCCAAACAACACCTTCACCCTGACACCCACACAACACCCTCACCCTAACACCCACATAACACCCTCACCCTGACACCCTCACAACACCCACACTCTGACACCCTAACAACACCCTCACCCTGACACCTAAACAACACCCACACAACACCCACACCCTGACACCTTCACAACACCCACACCCTGACACCCACACAACACCCTTACCCTGACACCCTCAACACACAACACACACACCCTGACACCCTCACAACACCTTCACCCTGACACCCACACAACACCCTCACCCTGAAACACACAACACGCTCACCCTGACACCCACACAACACCCACACCCTGACACCCACACAAACATCCACACCCTGACACCCACACAACACCCACACCCTGACACGCACAAAACACCTTCACCCTGACACGCACAGAACACCCACACAACACCCACACCCTGACACCTTCAAAACACCCAAACCCTGACACCCACACAACACCGACACAACACCCATACCATGACACCCACACAACACACTGACACCCTCCCCACACCCACACTCTGATACCCTCACCCACACAACACCCACACCCTGACACCGACACAACACCTTCACCCTGACACTCACAAAACACTTACACCCTGACACCCACGAAACACCCACACCCTGACACCCTCACAACAGCCACACCCTCACAACACCCTCACCCTGACACCCACACAATACCCACACCCTCACACCCTCAACACCCAACCCTGACACCCACACAACACCCTCACCCTGACACCCTCACAACACACACACTCTGACATCCACACATAACCCACACCCTGACACCCACACAACACCCTCACT